CTGGCTGATAGCCGGCGTCACCAACTACGCAAACTTGAAGAGGAACTCATCAAGTTGAAGAAGGATGTCACGAGGGCAGAATATCAAGCAGACCATGTGCCAAGGTCTGGATCTCCTTCAGAACTAACAAAGACGAATGAGAACCTTCTCGTGAGTGAATTGACCTCCATTACTGCGCCTTATACCTGACCATCGTCATTCTGTTCAATATTTCAGCGCCTGCTTCGTTGCTCAGTCTGCACAAAGGACTTCCGCACCCAGGTACTCACTAAATGCATGCATACCTTCTGTAAAGGGTTCGTCCGCATCAGATTGCCTCGCCACTTGACCTGGAATATTGATGATTTGGGCCCTATAGTTGCATCGATGCTCGGTTGACTACCCGCCAGCGTAAATGTCCAGCATGTCAACTGCCGTTTTCTCAGTCCGACGTGCAGACGCTTTGGTTCCAGGGGTAATTCTTTTTTGGTGGCCTGGAAGGAGATTGATCCACCACTCATGGCCTTCCACGTGTTGATTCTTTTCTTCTTCGTTTTTCTTTTGGTCCCTTTGCTTTACTTATTACTTCTACTTTTTCATTTATACTAGCCTCGGTCTTGTTCTTTGGAGCCTTTCGCGTGATGAACCTCGATGTGACCCTGGTCAAGAGCAGGAGACCATATGATCTGACGATCAGAGAAGTTTTCCGGATAATTTTGTACTGGAGAAAGGGTAGACCCATGATCGTAACTTGTCGCCGTAAGACCTTTGGAAGCTAGTATCTCATGCGGGAGCATCTCTATTTGACGCTTTGACAGCCTGCATGCGACCGCTAGCCACTTATCCTATTGCTGGTCGTTGGTCGACAAACAAGAAACAACACAAGTTGCTCATAACGATGTTTGTCAAATTGGAATCAAAGCATTCATGCAAATCTATAGTACTAAATACGATCAAGTATGACAACAAGGGAAAAGATGGATGCCGGAGAGTATCCAGGAAATGACAGGTAAAAGGCAATGCCTCATGAAGCGACCGCTCAAACAATCCTTGGACCAGCCAAGCGAACCTTCTCGTCCACCTGCTTCTCGAAGACAGCAAAGGCGCGGTTGAACATGCCAGCGAGCTTCTTGACTTCCTTGTTGAAGGCATCCTTGTCTGGCCATGCCTTGCGGGGGTCAAGGACCTCGGAGGGAACGTTGTCAACCTTGGTGGGGATGGACAAGCCGAAGACGTCGAAGTTCTCGTAGTCGCTCTCGGGGAGAGCGGCGAGAGAACCGTTGTGGATGGCGTCGACGATGGCGCGGGTGTATCGGAGAGGGCAGCGAGAGCCGGAGCCGTACTTGCCACCGACCCAACCGGTGTTGATGAGCCAGCAGTGGGCGTTGGCACCGCGCATCCGCTCGGCAAGCATGGTAGCGTATCGCGAAGGCTAAATGAAAAGGAAAAAGTAGGGTAAGAGATGAGTTAAACGCATCTTGACCGGAATACTCACGTGAAGGACGATGAAGGGAGCGCTGTAGCAAGTTGAGAAGGTGGGGATGGGCTCGAGAACACCATCTTCGGTACCAGGGGTCTTGCTAGTATAACCAGCCAAGAAGTGGTAGCTCGCCTGTTCTGGAGTCAACTTGCTGACAGGTGGGAGGACACCAAAGGCATCGCAAGTCAACATGATGATGTTGGTCGGTTGCTTGTCGGCCAAGCATGGAATGCGAGCGTTGGGGATGTACTCGATCGGATAAGCGCAGCGGGTGTTCTCGGTGATGCCAACATCGTCGTAGTCGGGGATGCGGTTGAGGGGGTTATAGACGACGTTTTCGAGGATGGAACCGAAGCGGATGGCAGCGTGGATCTCGGGCTCCTTTTCAGGAGAGAGGTTGATGCACTTGGCGTAGCAGCCACCCTCGATGTTGAAGACACCTTCGTCGGACCAGACGTGCTCGTCGTCGCCGATGAGCTGACGCTTGGGGTCGGCGGAGAGAGTACTGAAATGCGTTCGGGAGATCAGTTAATGCGTTGCCCTAGGCTGCAGACTACGCGAAGCCGACTCACGTCTTGCCAGTTCCAGAGAGACCGAAGAAGAGGGTAACGTCTTCCTTCTCTGTTCCGTAGTTGGCTGAGGAGTGCAATGAAAGTTGACCGAACTTGACGGGCATCAAGTAGTGCTGAGGATCCAGGTCGACCAGAATTAGCAATGTGCGCTGTTGTTACTGATGAAGCTCGAAACCCTCACCATAACAGAGAAAACACCCTTCTTCATCTCTCCAGCGTATTCGGTACCGAGGATAACCATCTCCATGCGCTTGAAGTTGATCTCAACCGAGGTAGTGGAGGTCATCCCAGCAGTGAAACGGTTGGCAGGGAATTGACCGGCGTTGTAGATGATGAAATCTGGCTCGCCAAAGTCTTGAAGCTCAGCTTCGGTAGGTCGGATCAACATGTTGTTCATGAAGAGGGCATGGTAGGCTCGTGCGCAGATGACCCGGACTTTGATGCGGTACTTGGGATCCCACTAAAGACAAATACCCCCGCAAAAAAGAAAGGCCAGATAATTAGCCGGAAAAGGAAAGCCCAAGTTGACCGAGGTGATCGACTTACGCCTGCATAACCGTCAAAGACGTAGACAAGGTCGCGAGTGTTCAAGTAGTCGATTGCACGCTCTCGGTTGATCTCGAAGGTGTCTGCGCGGGCCGGGTGCGCCGTTCGTCAGTCCAGTTTAAAATAGGAGGTCCATCCGCCGGCATTTGGCACAAGCGGAAAGAATGAAAAAAGCACTCACGTTCGTCCATCTTAATGTTGACGGGACCCCACCAAATCTCGTCCTTGGAGGTCTCTTCAAAAACGATACGCTTGTCCTTGGGGGATCGACCAGTCTTCTTGCCGGAGAAATTGATGAGGGCACCAGTGCTGGAGATGATGGCACCTTCATTCCGGACGGCATCTTCGTAGAGTTGAGCTACAGGAGCATTCCGTCGGATGTGGATCTTGCTCATGTCAAAGCCGGCCTCGGAGAAGTACTCGATCTCCTTGCCCATGACTGGCGACGGCAGCGCAAAAGCGTGTCCGCAGTCAGCAACGTCGCCCCTCGAGTGAAATTGTAATACTTACAGTTATTTTCAAACTGGTCATGGACTGCGGATGCAGGGTTGAGGATGTAAGGAGTAACATAGGGAGTTTGGTAGTGAGAATGGTGAGTTCCGTGGGGGGTGTACATGGCTGGCAACAACGAGCAAGAAGAAGGTCTAGGACGACGATGGAGGAGAGAGAGAGGAGATGAGCGGAATGAGGAGGGGATGTTGTGAAAACGTCTGAGAGCAAGAGCCAGGGTACCTTTATAGTCTGGGGTATGCAATATGAGACCTTTTGGAGAGATCTGATGGTCCGTCTCTCTCTCCCTCTCCGTTCCCTCTAACCCCCTGGCCACAGTCACCCGCGCCAGGCCACATTCACACCCCCAGTCTAACGTTAAACCACCCTGATCAGCATCACCTTGCAGCTCACTCGACCGCATACCGTCCCCATCGTTTTCCACCACCTTGAGCTCAGCGTCTGGCTACACCCTGTGCCCAAGAACGTTCCCCGCCCACTCGGAAAGCGCAGGCTAGGACGATACCCGCGATAGCCCGAGGTGTTTGTACGCCGTTCCGTTTCCAAAAGAAGAGGCGCGTCACTGTCACGCGCTGTTTCAATCCCTCAGAGGCGCTTTGGCCGCTCACATGATTCCACACTCATGCTCCGCCGTGGTCTCTGACACCGCCGCGGTCACCTCACGCGTCATAGATCCTTTTGTTTCGGGAGTCATCGCTTTCAAGATCCAGGCTCTCGAGTTTAAAGTCTAAAGCATAACCAAGTCCTGGTTGCCAGGACAGGTGCGCACGCGACTCGCCCTACCTAAAGCGCCTGACCGACAGACAAACGGTGGCACCGGACCTGCAATCTTTCCCTAGGTCATGCTTTTGCTCTATGCTTTCCGCGGCGATGTCCAGTGACCAGACCGGTTCCAGGACCCTCTGTCATGTTAGGTCTCGTACGCAGCATGAAACCGCCTTCGACGTTTCACCGTTCTTTCACAACTTAAACCCTCAACTCATATGCGCCAGATTTGACCAATGTTCTTACTTTAGCATTAAGCGCGATCCACGCTTAGGTCGCATACGAGCTTTCAGACACCGTTCTCACTACACCCGGCGGGAGTTTCTTCCCTCTTATCCCCCCGATACGTACGTACTCGACCGTGCCGTCATTGAAACGATCGAGCGATGCACCTTGAGAGGCTACTTTTCCCCAACTTTTCTAAAACGAGGATCATTTCAAACGCCCCTGATTCGAAGTACTTCCTCTCCGTCGTCGCCGTCAACCTCACCTCGCTCTCCCTCTCTCTCCCGACCTCACTCCCCTTTCACCTTGCCCCGACTGCGACAACGTCTCTCCATGCGTGACAATTACTGTGGTACAGATAGACTTAGTGATGAGAAAATCTGAAACTTGCGAAGGCTTCTGATGAGTATCGCCCATCGATGTATTTGGATCGAGTTACCATTCTCGTATAGTGCGTCTCCCACAACCCCAAGCCCCTCGAAGAGGGGTCACTCCGACATCGCCCAATTCATGCCTTCTTGCAAGCCGAAATGATACGAAATCACTTGGGCAATGGGTTTTGAACGGTAGGCAGTTAGTTCGAATAGGCGCAACGTTAGGAGCGGGTCCGGTCTAGGGGGTTTAATTCGGCATTGATCGCTGCCCCAGTCTAATCTAATCTCAGACATCAATACATTTTGGATTAGGTACCGCGGTTCATGTCTGGCTTACTTTCGAGCACGTTCGAATGAGCTCACCTGTCGTCGTCTCTGCCAAGGGGCTCAACCGAGGTCGGGGCTTTATGACACGGCAGAAGAGGATGGCAGGCAAACGAACGAGGAAAGGCACGAAACGAACTCACCGTAAAAAACAACCCGCGCAAAAAGATACGATACAGATATCGTCGCAGTAAACCCAAGATTGACAATTACTGCCGTCGAAAATGACCGTGGGGTGAATCGAACACCCGTCTTCTCAGGAACATTTACTATTCTGCTAGCGCAGTCAAGTAAGGGAAACCACAATGAGATGCTCTAACCACTAAGCGACACAGTCTTACAGAGATGCGATTCGGCAAAAATAACCTAGGTGCTTTACTTGCCGTATGTATCGTATTTACTCTCATTGATGTATTGGACCCATTTGAGTGAGGTATATCTTTATCCCCGTGGGTGGCGGAGCTACTACAGAAAGACTGGACGTTCGATTGGAAGACTAGCAGTCAATCTACAATGGGAATCGGCTGATGCCCCCACCGCGGAGCAAGCTGGATTGAAGGGATCGGTATCGTTGTCTGTTCTACCATCCTACGGTGCACATTATTCCAGACGATGCAGTGCGGGGCACTTTGCGTGCATCTCGTCTTGCCAGTTGGGTTAAATCGGTCGCTATAAGTACTGCATGCCTCCAGGGCGTTGCGTCTCCCGCTGGCGCTGCGAAGATATCCTCCTTCTTCGATCCATTCCCATGTGTTTTCGTGGCTTTTCACCCTTACTCCGTGCTTCCTAATGCTGTATTAGAGAGGTAAAGCCCCTCAGGCCTCTCCTTACATGACGCCTTGAAGTGGAAAGGATCCCGGCGATTACTTTTGCAGTGGCGAGATCATGGAGAAGGGTGAGCTTTGGATGCTTCGTAGCACATGATTAGGCACGAATGATACACTTTCTCATTACTGCAGGTTCGAGCACGAGATCAAGAAGGGAGGGGGGAGGTGATTTGTTCGTGTTTACTGTGGTGGTCCCATATGAATCAGTTTCTCTCCCAACCACTACTCGACTCCTCCCCGTCAGCGTACGAAGTGATTGCCCGCCGAAACAACCACGGAGAAATTAACGATAATGGAAGGATCAAAACCATACCAAACCACCCGGGAACGCTTCAATGATGACCCGGCTTCACTCATGGGTCTCCCTCCGTTGGAGAAGATAAGCGAGTTCTGGAAGCGTTACGACTACCTTGCGGACATCCACGACAAAAAGATGACCTCCAATCTCAACGGAAATCTTGACGTACTTTTAATTTTTGTGAGTTAGACTCATCTATGTTTGTGGTTGCGATTCCGTTACAATCTAAATCTAAACACGGGACCTTAGGCCGCCCTGTTCTCAGCAATCAACACGGCCTTCATTTCCCTTTCAATGCCGGGCCTCTCACCAGATCCATCCGACGAGACGAACGCTCTCCTCCGTCTTATTGCTATGAGAGCAGACAACAACACCCTTTCCCCGACCGACCTCTCCCCGCCATTTTCCCCTTCCTCTAACTCCGTCATTGTCAATTGTCTGCTGTACGCCAGCTTGAGCTGCAGCTTACTTGCCGCGGTAGGCGCTATGATGGCCAAAGAATGGTTGCAGAGCTTCGACCGAACAGGGCAGACCGGCCCATTGGAAGAACAAGGTCGTTTCCGACAAAACAAGTTCAACGGGGTACAGCAATGGCATTTGGAATCGGTGGTCAAGTTTCTACCGAATCTTCTGCTTTTGTCCGTGATTCTCTTCTTTGCAGGGATCGGGCTCTTCCTCTTCCCAATCAACACCGCCGTGGCAGGCACGGTAATTGCATTTTCGGGCCTCGGAGTAGTCCTATCCGGCATTACCATCTTTGCTGGAGCTGTCTCTCCCCTGTGCCCCTATCAATCGGCATCATCGCACGCCGTTCGGCGCATGGCCAAATTTTTCCTCAGGACCTGGCCGTCAGTTAGGTCAACTTGGGCACACATGATGCCCGGACTCCCGAAATTCTTTGCCCCTCTCCATGATGTGTGGATGCGGCTTTGGCGCAAAGCTCGTTCCCTCATCACTGAGAATCATCATGCTTGGGAGCTCCACGTTATCCGATTTCCGCTTGCTCTTATTTCGAGTTTGGGCGGCTTTATAAGGCGAGCGTCGCAACTCTTCGAACGAATGGGGCACCGGTTGGTGGGATGGGTGCGGGCGGCCATTCCGTCCTGGGTGACCCGGTACCGTCGCCTACTAACATCATGGGGTCAAGAACGGCGTCAGGGCTTAGCCCTAGCCGAGGACAACGCGCTAGTAGTGACCGCGCAAGCAGCCGACTGGCTCCTCGAGACAACCTCCAATCGCGGAGACCAGATAGCCGTAGCACAGTTCTTGTGTACCCTCGATGGAGCCGCCTGTGCTTCTGTTTTCGAGGACTCTGGAATCCTGCGACGTCTCATGGACTTGACTCGCGACGCGCTCGACGTTTGGTATTCACGACCTAACGTGAGGAACCAAGAGGTAGCGGAGCTATTCGGATTAGCACTATGCCACACCTTCATTCATTCACCCAAAGACCTTGCCAAAAGGTATGACGTCATGGACCTGCAGTTAGACCAAGCAAGCAGTTTTGGCGGAAAGTTTTTGAAGGCACTCGAACTTGTTCGTAACAAGTACTCACCCCTTAGCCCAGAAGACGAAGAATACATGCTTCACGTATGTTTTCTCTCTGCGATCATCGGTAGCCGCCAAATAATCCAAGAATATGAATGGGCCCGGTTGTCGCGTTTGAATGTTAAGGCTCACCGCATGTCTGATACCCTTCTGTGCTTGTGGGCTGGGGTTGTTTTCCACATTGCTCGAAAAAGGTCGGACCTTCTCGACTATCATTGGCTCTACGGATTGGATAAACTGGTGAAAGTTGGAGAAGACGAGTGAGTACTGGATCGTTCATTGTTTCGTGTCGTATTACATTGTGCTGAACATGTGCGCTTCAAAGGCAGGACCTTGTCTATCATTTAGCATGGGCCGTACTCTGGAGCCCGGAAGCCCTTATCTCAACTCAAACTAATTCGAAGCTTGAGCTAAACGCCGCCGAGATTTACACGACGTGCTTGCAGAGATCCCAAGGGCTCGTCCATCAGTGCACGGATAGCGATCTGGATAGTCTGACTCGTGGCACTATCTATTTGATATCCGAGTACCTGAACTCCTTGACTGTTTCCGGGCCTGGAGACGCTCCCTTGATCAGATTAGCATCAGAGGCGGTACTCACGCTGCGAAAACTCCTTCAAAACGGCTCGTCGGCTTCCCAGGTCTCACAGCCTGGGCAACTTCTAAACGGAGTATGGATGGACGCTATTGCGGACTTGATGCTGAATGATCGGTACCATCCTCTTTCAGACTCGGTCAAGTGCTGCATCGTAAGGATACTCTTATGGGTATGGCAGAGCAGGTCAGATGCGGGAATTGATGACGAGGGTCTAGAAGCTATTTTCATTTCTAGCTGTCGGCTATGGGCACCCTTGGAGAAACAAGTTGCCTCCTCAATAGCCGGAACTTTCGGTGCCGATGATAAACCCCTCACAACCGATGATCTGACTAGGATAGTCGAATTCATCGATTACGTCCAGAAACAGGAGAATCGAAAGACGTTTGACTTTATAGCTCGTAACGCGGACGTCGGGATCAACCGCTTGTACGTCCACCTCGACCGGCGAGTTGACTGGGATTACCAGCTGTATGATCTTCGTGAACAGCCTACGTCTTGTCCTTGTTCAGGGTATATCGAAGATGGAATGCTGTAGGAACCTTGGGTACCGTTAGGTGCATGCGGGGATTTATCGATTACGTGTTGTGCCGCGCAGAGTCGTCGGGAGTGTTGATTGTTTGATATCTGTAAAATGTCTTCAAATAATACAATTGACTGGTTGAAATTGCGCGCTCTTGGTTGGGAAGGCTGAATCTTCATTAATTCACGAGGGTTTGTGAGTAAGCCGAGCTATTTCCGCCTATCTGGCTCGCCTCGCCAGAGTTGGCGAGGTTCAAAACTGGCACAAAGAAGGAAATAAAAGGAGATCATCGAATAGGACACCAAGGTCACTAGCAAGCTTAAGGTGCTCAGTATCATACGAGTAGGCACGAAACATACGTTTCTCATCACCGCTCGCTTGAACGCGAGATTATCCATAGGCTCACGGATGTAAGCCCCTTAGCTCCCGCGCGAGCTCCTCCGCTCCGCCTCGAGCAGGGGCTTACATGTGAACCTAGATTATCATGCACAGGAGAGGCGGCGATTTGTTCGTGTTTACCGTTGTCGTGCCGTGAATCACTTTCTCTCCCACCACTACTCGACTCTTTCCAGTCAGCGTAAGAAGCGATCGTCCGACGAAACAGTCGAAAACGAGAACATGGAAGAATTAAAACCATACCAAACTACTCGGGAGCGCTTCAACGATGATCCGGCTGTACTCATGGACCTCCCTCCGTTGGAGAAGATAAGCGAGTTCTGGAAGCGTTACGACCACCTTGCGGACATCCACGACAAGAAGATGACTTCCAATCTTAACGGAAATCTGGACGTACTCTTAATTTTTGTGAGTTGGACTTATCAGTGTCTGTGGTTGCGATTCCGTTACAATCCAAATCTGAACACGGATGTTAGGCCGCCTTGTTCTCAGCGATCAACACGACCTTCATCTCCCTTTCGATGCCGGGCCTTTCGCCTGATGCTTCTGACCAGACAAACGCTCTCCTACGCCTTATTGTTATGAAAGCGGACAACAACACCCTTTCCCCGACCGACCTCTCCCCGCCATTCTCCCCATCCTCTAACTCCGTCATTGTCAATTGTTTGCTGTACGCCAGCTTGAGCTGCAGCTTACTTGCTGCGGTGGGCGCCATGATGGCCAAAGAATGGCTGCAGAGCTTCGACCGAACAGGGCAGACTGGTCCATTGGAAGAACAAGGTCGTTCCCGACAAAACAAGTTCAACGGGGTGTAGCAATGGCATTTGGAGTCGGTGATCAAGTTTCTGCCGAATCTTCTGCTTTTGTCCGTGATTCTTTTCTTTGCAGGGATCGGACTCTTCCTCTTCCCCATCAACACCGCCGTGGCAAGCACTGTAATTGCATTTTCGGGCCTTGGAGCAGTCCTGTCCAGCATCACCATCTTCGCTGGAGCTGTCTCTCCCCTGTGTCCATATCAATCGGCCTCGTCCCACGCCGTTCGCCGCATGGCCAAGTTTTTCCTCAGGACTCGGTCGTCAATTAGGTCAACTTGGGCACACCTGATGCCTGGACTCTTGAAATTATTTCATGGATTGTGGATGCCGTTCTG